ATTATAATATTGTCACTCCGAATTTTTAGTATCTCTTTTTGTTTAATTTTGAAGTGATTTTAACATTAGTTGTCTTGCTTGCCTAAGTACATTGCAGTTAAAGTGGAAGAAGTTATTGATCGAATGACATAATAAATAACCTAATAAAAGCAATTATTTGGTATTTTTTAAGTTTTTTAAGTCCATTGCACGATGGTAAGTACGGCTAAATATTTCCTGAATGTCACCCAGTTTTTTATGCAAAAAACACTAAAAATAAGATAATTACCAATGTATGTTTATTGCTTAAGGAGTTTCAATGATTTCCTTGTTTCTGTATATTGTCGTGAAATAAGACTCTTAGAAAAAAAAAGAAATGTGAAATATTTCTAGAATGCCGCTTTTAGGTGAAAAATTATGTTTTATTTAAGAAAGCTTATTTATTTCTCCAAAAGTGTTCAAATGTATATATGGAAAATTGCTGCTGAGGAAAGACTAAACAAAACGCCTGCCTCCTAAGAAAAGCCAAGACATGAAATCATGAAAATGTCATGATAAAGATGGAAAAAACTGCACATTAGCTTATGTGAAAAATGTGATTTAAAGTGATATGCAAATGTTTAAAAAGCATGCATTTAATGTTAAAGTTCTGAACATTTAGCGTACTTTTATAAAAAGCGATATTCTGAAAAATCTGTAACAAAAATGCAAATCTAAGACAAAAAATAATAATTTTTAAAGAGCCTGAAAGAAATTTCGTGTTCACGTCAGTAAACGATGATAGGCGACCGTGTAAGAAAAAAAATTATTTTTTTTTTGGTTGATGCTCGGAACGGGCATTAAACAAATTTCGATGCAAAAATATTGTAGTTCAAAGATCTCGTAAATGTAAATAAGTTTCAATAAATCATATATGCCGTATGAAAGCGCCCAATTCAGGGCTTAAAAATATTGCTGAACTTTAAAAAGATTCTCATTAAATGCCATTAAAACTTTTTATTGCCACAAATAAGCTGTCATTAGTAAGAACTTTGCAATCGCAGATAACCGAACTAAGCGCGTGGTTTCATTAAGTTTTTAAATGTCTGTAATTTGCACACACTAACTCTCCGTTTCATAACTTTAATATTTTTTAATTGATTAATTTCATGAGCAAAGTAGAAATTATAGTACCTACCACTTTGTAGACTCGTGCGGTACGATTTAGTTTTTTATTTCCTAGAATTATTGATTCCAATACAGTTAAATCAATGATTGGTAATTACTATTTCTTTCAAATACGCGATTTGATTTGTAAACTTTTACTGTTTCAAACTTGTTTTTATTACACGATTTCATACATTCCTAACAGGTATTTTAATATATATCGCCCGTTTACAAAAACAGTGTCATAACTGAAGAAAGGACATTTTTAAGAAAATGAAGCAGGATTCAGAAAATTTAAAACTTTGAGAAACTAGCACCTAGTTGTTGCAAAATGTACATACTTTTTACATTATTTTTAAGATGGTGTCGGGAATTTTTGTTTACACTAACCTGAGCATAGTGATTTTATAGATGTGATTTGGCCTTATGATTTAGGGCATTTTTACATAGACTGAATTTAGATGAAGAATTCCGTAGCTCGAAATATAAAAAAACTTCAAAGTGATTTACATTTCCCCAGGTTTACCAAACCGTATTTGAAATTAATATAACTGAATGCTTGATTAGTTAATCAGGTAGCGCCCATTAATTACTCACATCGATGCAGACGATTCTAACTATTAATCTGCGCTTTATTAATTTTTATTCTTTGCCGTTAGTAAGAAACATTTAAATACATATATATATATATTTCTCAGTCCCATAGAATTTGTTTTGATAACTTTTGATTTTGAAATTTTAGCAAAAGTCATTATAAACAATCTATGAAATTGAAAATGAAAAACGTGGAGCGCATGAAATGGCGTGTCGTCTATTTCCGCTGTAGCAAACGTAGTACATAGATGTCATCTACCTCGCCCTATTCACTACAGATGTCGCCCTAGGCACTATGCTTTTTTATAGGAACTTTTCAAAGCAAAGGTTTTATGGTGTCGGACACACAACATTGAAAGTTTCTGGACACACAACATTGCAAGTTGATAAAAGCGTTGTAGTTGTAAAAATAGGTCATACAAATCAGGCCAAAATTGTTTTCATTTACTTTTGTTGGTCCATGTAACAGCGATAAAGAACATGGTGTCCTTGAACTATTGTACATATATGTATTAAAAAAGATAAGTCGACTTTTGTATTGTTTAATATAAATACGCATTCGAGTATTTAGAGAATTTTGTCAAACTTTACAGATACCATTTCTCAGCCAGGCGCTCCTGCACTGAGCTTTTAATTTTGTGCCAATATGCCCATGCTAGCTGCTAGGTGCCCGCCCAGCAGTGACATAAAAAGTGTATTTAGGTATTTATGTTGTAGTAACAAGTAATTTTTAAGCAAAAAATACAACTGACTTCAATGCTCATATACAAAATTAGGAGTACCGTTAATTTCTCCGTTACACAATGATCGGAATAAGGCATCAAATACCGTACGATTTTGTGAATCCCAGCATACCCGGATATTATTACCATTAATTTAAATATGCTAACAAACTAGTTTTGTAGTCTTGCCTTAGTGCGGATACTAGAAATAAAAATTAATTTGCGTTTTTAAACAAACAAATATAAATGCCTTTATTTTATATCAGTTTAAAAAGCTAATTACAAGCCGAATGAACTGAAAACTATGGAACTAAAATTCTTTCACATTGCAGTCGCAGTCATTTTTACAAATAAATAGTAAAAAATAAGAGATCATATTTACACTTGCATATAGTGTATACATATACATACTTATGTATAGATACAAGTGGGACGGGCGGTATTCGCTTAAAATTTTTTATGGGTTCTAGTTATACATAAAATAAGCTAACACGTATTCGAGATTTTTCTCTTCGGAGATGTGATCCGTCAAAGTTCGAATTTCTTCGTGATTCTGACCATTAATGTACTTCTTCAATTAGTTATATCTCGCCTTCTGCTCATAGTAGAGACTTCATCTTAACGTCGCTTTAAAGCTAAACAAACATTTCTATATATAAGATGGTCATGATTGTTCTAAAGTTAACTTAGCTAATAAGAGTTTAACTTTTTGAAGTTGATTTGCATGTTGAAGACCAGTAAATTTTTGATTTGAAATTACTTTATCGAAATCCTTGTTTAATTCTCTATAAAAAACATGGTTAAAAAAACTTGACGTATTTCAAGAACTATTTTTAAAATAATTTAGTGTTAGAGTTGTAATATATTATTTGATTATTTGTAGGGTTGGAATTTTATAACTCTTTTATGCAATTACAGTCTGATTTTTTTCATTTTAATTTGGTCGTAAATTAAATTATACATTGAAGATTCGTAAAAAAATCGTTACAGAACCCAGGAAAACTTCCGATACCCTTAAAGATTTCGTTAAATATAATTCACTGAAATATCCAAAAAATTATGTAGTTACGATATTAGTACATAATTACAATGCATACATATTAGGGCCGCGTAATATAATTTCGAAAAAAGTGTATGGCATATTCGAATTCTACGTTCGATTCTAAGCAAAAATGGTGAACAAACTATATACCAAAAAAAAAAAAAAAATATTCCGACGAACTGATAACCTCCTCCTTTTTTGGAAGTCGGTTAAAAATGACGTTTGACCCTCCCAATTTTTAAAAGCAAAATCAGTGTATTATAATTTTTTCTGAGTGAAATTTATTTTGCATTTACAAAATTTTGTGTTTTCTTCATATAAATAATATACTACTTTCTTTTGAAAATTGGGATTGTCAAACGCCTTTTTTGGTAGGTAGTTTGTTCCCCATTTTTGTTAAGAATTAATCGTAGAATTTAAATTTTCTATACACTTTCTTCGAAAATTTTGCTCCGAACAAATTACTCCGCCCTAATATACATACATACATACACAAGAGCGCCATTAAATCTTGACAGATGTTTTGTTGAATGAAACTTTTTAATTTCGAAATTCGGTGGTTTTTTAGCTAAAAAATAAATTAGAATAAAAATTCCGCCGTCGAATCTACTTAACATAAGCACTGTAAACTTTGAACTAGCGAAAAAATTTTCAATCGAAACACAAACGCACAGAATTATTTAAATCAATTAGAAAGTCAAAACAAGGAAAAAGAAAGCATTGCAAAAATATGCAGATTTACAATAGCTTTCTCATTGATAATACGTCTGTATAGTAATATTGCAGATGAGCGCGTTGCTTCTTCCAAAATTCGCTTTCAATGAATAATATTTACATACTTATTATGCTTTTATTAATTAAATTCAGCACAAAAAAGTGGAAGAAGACATTACTAAGTTTCAAAGTTTCCATTGCATCACAGCGGCCCAATAGCATAAATACAACAATGAAGCGTGTAAATTTTATAATTAAATAAATATGTTCATTAAGTTACTGACAAGTGTGAAAGTCAACAAATATAGCTTTTTTTTAATGCAATCAGTTTTTAGTCTACAAATAACCGCTTCGTTGCTTTCTACGATTTAAGTGATTTTTTATAATTGTTTATGTTGTTGTTCTTAGTTTTTTATTAAACTTTGTTTTTGCTCCATGTGCAGTGGAGTACCAATGAATTTAATTCCATCTACTTTGTTAAGTTGTTCTCCCTATTAACGAAAGTTACTACACACAGAACTATTGAGTTTAATCTATTGGACCTCAGCTGTTTATTTATCGATTTTCATTGACTATCGACTAGGACTTTTACAAATACAATATGCTCACAAGTATATGTAAATAAATAGATAACGTAAGTTTTAACTCAAAATCGATACGCAAAAACTTGTTTTACTATATGTATATAATTCGTATGTATGTATGTATGTATGTACNCGACTAGGACTTTTACAAATACAATATGCTCACAAGTATATGTAAATAAAAAATAACGTAAGTTTTAACTCAAAATCGATACGCAAAAACTTGTTTTACTATATGTATATAATTCGTATGTATGTAAATTGGTACTGTTACATATATAAACAAGTTGTTGCATGTTGTATTTATTCTAATTGAGCGTCGTAATATGTACTAGAAGTGCATACATTTTAGATATGTATGTATATGTCCGTTGTACTACGTAACATTCCCTATGGGAATATGTAATGTTGAGCTAAGATTTACAAAAAGTTTTCCTATTTTCATATTTAATTTCAGTGTACATAAAGACTTCAATAATGAAAGAATAAAAGATTGCGCCAAACTCGTGGTCAGTGACATTTCTCAAGTAAAAGTAAACAAAGGCGACTAGGAGGATATAAGGAACTAGCATAAAGCAAACATTATTATTATTAATTTTTCGATAGGAAATGTGCTTTAATTGTGTTAAGTTTTAAAAATATATAATTTATACAAAAATTAATAAAGAAAATGTTAACAAAAATGGTGATTTTCGTGAAAGTATTAGTGAATTTCAGTGTATTCAAACTTTCTGAGGCGTTTTTTACGTTTCTTGAGAATTGCCAAAAAAATCTTTGTTTTTGCATGGTTTTGCAAAGCTTTGGTAAACAATTTTTCTTAACGAAAAATACTTTTTCTTTACTTTTCTTGTACAGATATTTAGTCTAGCGGTTTAAAAGCGTAGTAGTTACGCATTTGAAAATAAAAACTCTGCAAAATTTTTACTTTATTTAAAAGAATTTCGTCAATGGCTCTACAAAATTTTTTTTCTTTGATTTTAATGCGCTTTTTTCTCTCGGTGTACATATAAAAGTAAGCCATTTATTCACAATATACAACAGCATCGAAATATCGAAAATGCCCCCTGATCCACATTGACCTTAAGGATTAACTGTGGGACTTAATCCAGTTCAGCTGCAGTTGAATCCCGAGTTAATTTCGAACAACACTGCCGCCTTTTTATGCTATAAAATGATAAAATTCGAATCCGCTAAGAGACGTTTAAGGTAATAAAAAAATACCAGTTTGCTGCTATGAAAATGTAAAAGACGAACTACGTTTTTGTGCAAACTGGTAATGGATGTTCTACTCTTTGATTAGAAATTGCTTCTGAGAGGTTCCATTGCCTGTAGATATATTCCTACCGAGATTGTTACGTTAGCAAATTTGTAAATATTTATCAATATCTACATCCCCTACACTTACGTACATATGTACATCTCTCAACACCACTTACTTTGATATAAAATTTTCATTCTGATTTGCCGTTTTTCTATTAATGCAAACGCTTTTAGCTACACTGCTCAAGCTGTTATTAAACAGATTTTTATTTTATTTTTTTCTAAATTCATTGATGTAATTGCTCACGGCAATCATGTCGAAGGCGTTGAACATTTACGTAATTAAAAAGGAAGCACAAAAGCATTTGAATAATTACATACAAGTGCACATATGAACACGCACACGCAAATTGCACTCGGAAATCTTGGTAGTGTATTTAGAAATATAAACATTGAAAATTTACTGGAATTACGCTAAAAATGGNAAAAAGGAAGCACAAAAGCATTTGAATAATTACATACAAGTGCACATATGTATGAAGCACACGCAAATTGCACTCGGAAATCTTGGTAGTGTATTTAGAAATATAAACATTGAAAATTTACTGGAATTACGCTAAAAATGATGAAATAATTGTTGCATTAGCGTTTCTTTTGGCAAGTTTTTTTAGTTTGCATTCAGCAAAAAAAAACTCCATTAATGGTTTTTGCTTTTTTCGTTTTTTTTTTGTTTTATAATGTCTGGCAATAAATAAATTGGGTAAGGCGCGGAAGTGTCGTGTAAGCATTTGCACTTAATTAGCGCACGACGGTCACCAACTTATTAATTTGTGTGTGTGTACATACATACATATAAAAGTTACAAAAGTGTTTCCACCAAATTTGAATGCCGAAAAGTCACTATCACGGCTAGAATTCATACATGTATGCATGTGTGTGTGGGTCAGGTAGGTGAAATGTGCTATTTTCATTAGTTTTTATTGTTTTTTATAAGTAATAAAATTATTTTATTTTTTTTTGTGAAACAGGGGTTTTCAGTTTTGTGCGTTTAACGTACATATTCATGGAAGCCGGTGTTTATATGTATATTTTCATACCAGATACATTGAATAAGTTTTTCATTAACATCACTTGCTTCTTAACTGCGGCCGTGCTAAATTCAATTAAACCGAATTGTACTGAAATAGCGTTTCAAATGCATTTCAATCTTAAATTTAAGTAGTCTACTGCGCACCTTGATAGCATCAAAGTAATGCTGATTTTTAAATGAAAATATATGACATTTACGGTGTTGTTTGTGAACTGAATCCATTATCGAAATTCAACTAAAATTTTTCAAATATTAATTATTAATAAAATTACATATTTAGAAGTTAAAAAAAAATTACCTGTGACACTGTTATCTATCCATGTTGTTTTGAATGTACATATTTATGATAAAAATATTTTTTTCTACGTATCAAAAGGCTTTCACGGTCAAGGCGAATTAATTTAAAGGCTCTTCTTTAGTTTAAAGCATTTTTTTTTTGTAAACACGG